TACACACATACACACATACATACATGTATACATACGTACATACATACATGCGTACATGCATACATAATAAATAACTATGTATATGTATATATGTGCACATATACATACACACACATACATATATATATATATACACACACATGTACCATCTAACATATACACATACACACATGCATAGGCATATGCATATACGTACATGCATATCCACATAAGTATGTACATACACATGTGCATGTGAACATAATTATACATTATATGTATCAAACACACACACACACACACATATATATATATATGTGTGTGTAGCATACATACATGTATGTATGTATGTATGTATGTATGTATGTATGTATGTATATATATATGTATCATATGTGTCTGTACATGTATATACTACATATACTATACATATACATGTATATATATATATACACATGTATACGATTGAATGTGAAGATACCTGTATAAACATAGTTGTGTATGTATGTATATATTTATACATGGCTCGGCATCGAGCAGAGCAGTAAGCTCGCTGCAAACTAACAAAGCCCAATAAGCTCTGGAGCAGGATTCTGCTGCATCTGAGTCGCAGTTCCATTGTCTCAACCCCAACTCTTAACCAACCCGACGACTCCTAACGGCACGGTGTTTTTGACCCTAGCAGGTAGAGCCAGCACATATCAAAACACACAGATCCAAGCAACTCTGACATAGCTATGAACCCTCAACACTTCACAGAACCTTCATCCCGACGCCCTGAAGCCTGAAACCGCAAAACCCGAAGGCACCCCAAACTTCCCCAACTCCGCGCCGAACAAAAACCCCTAACTTCAACTCACACTATGCTCTGGACCGTCGCATAGTCAAAACCCTTAACCCGAAGCCAGCATGTGTGTGCAAGATGTGCGTGCACAGCATATACCTACCTACCTACCTTCCTACCTTCCTGCCAACCTACCTACGCACGCTTGCATAGATACATATACACACAAACATTTTAGGTATTTGCTGTGGGCGTGTGCGGATATCTATCGATCTGTCCTTCTGAGTGCCTGTCTGACTGTCTGTCTATGAATCTCTCTCTGTCTACAGTAACAAGCTGTCCATCTAAGTGTTTTATATATGCGCATATTGTAGAGATGTATGTAAACTTAAACCTAAACTCCGTGTCAGGACTCCGTGGCCTCTGCGTGAATACGGCCCGCATCAGGGCCGAGCCTGACCCCCCAGCACTTGTCCCCGCTCCGTTCTCCCGGTGCTGTGGGACTTGGAGTTGACGTTGGGGTTCCGGGTTTGGGGTGCTTGGTTTAGGGTTTATAAGGCTTAGGGTGAGGTTTCTTGGAGGGTCATGGGACCTAGATGTTAAGGTTGTAACCGCAAATGTGCTTATTTGAGTGCATGATCCGCTAGGGTAGTTATAACGAGCTACTTCCCATGATCCTCCGAGTAGGGTTTAGGGTTTGGGGTTCAAAACTTCAGGCACGACGGTTTAAGGACTTAGAGTTTGAGCTTGTCTAGTGCAAAGAATTCACGGCTGATGATTCGGGCTAAGGCTTCTTCTACTTTTGGCCTGAAGGGTTCTAGAAGTTCGGGGCTGGATGGGAATGTAGATTTTTTGGGCAAAGGCGCTGCTGGGAACGGGAAATCAAGGTTTGGTGAGTTAAGGCCTGGTCGTCATTGGGTTTGCCGGTACAAGACAGCTTCATACATGGGAAAAACCTGCAAACTGACAATCGGGCACAGGAATCCGCTGAAATGAACCCGAACATGATGCTGGCAGGTACATGTTTGTCAGCTTTATTCCGGCAATACGATTATAATGACATTGCATGCATTTTCTTAAGTTTGATTATAATGACATTGCACGCATTTTCTTATAAGTTTCATACCCTTCAGAAGTTCAGTCTGCGGCCCGCCGCACTCGGCAATGTCGCCATAGCAACTTTCGATCCGATCCAACCTTCGGCTCCCGGGTGTCGGGGTGCTCTTGGGGGTTTAGGGTCTAGGGCAAAGTGTAGGGTTTGGTTTAGGGCTTATAGGGCTTGGGGTGTAGGGTTGTGGTAATTAAGATAAGTGGGCGAAGAGGTGTAGAAAGTCTGCGTGGTTGTTCAAGTGTTGGTCGGGAAACTCTAAACCCTAAGCCAATAAACCCTGAACCTTAAACCCCTAAGCCCTGCAACCCTAAGCCCCTAAACCAATGATCCCAAAACCCTAAAGCCCTATTTGGGCTTCATCGGGTCTTTGATTTCGGCAAGGGTCCACGGATTTGGGATTCCTGTAATGTGAGAGCATGTAACCGAGAGCTCCAAGTACTAGTAGCGGGTTGCTCAATAGAGGCCGCAGACTTTGGCTTTAAGGTTGGCTTGGGGAGAAGGGGAGGGGTCGGGATATTTCTTCGTTTTGTCGTGGGCGTTTGTGTGCGTGCATACGTGCGTGCATGCGTATGTGCGTGCGTGCGTGCGTGCGTGCGTGCGTGCGTGCGTGCGTGCGTGCGTGCGTGTTTCTCTGTGCGTGTGTGTGTGTGTGTGTGTGGGGTTGGGTCTGTGGGCTCTTTGCTTTAGGATCTCGCCGCCAGAGCGCCATTTTGGCCGAGCCATATGTTTTCCAGTGTATCAGCGTTGACGGATTTGGGCTCGGCATGTATGGTTCAGAGCTCAGCCACTTGGCTACAAATGCACAAACTACTACTGTACGAGTATAGTTCTGACATCTAGTCACCTTGCGATTAGAAACATGGATCTATTATATAGTAACTTAGTAATCTTCTAGTAATCAATAATTACGAAGTAACACGGTTAGTCTGTTCCATGCCTGAAATCAAGCTCGTGGTTCTGATAATGAGAGCACGGGGAAGACTCTGAGGCTCTGGCACATCAAGGGAAGCTTCCGCCACGGCACCAATGGGCCTGATAGGTGCACATGTATCTCGCGAGGTGTATGTGTGTGTGTATATATATATATGCCTATGTACATGCCTAAACAAATATGTGATCATATACGGACATGATATATATATATATATACATATATATGTATATATATAATATATATGAGCATATATACACATATATACGAGAGAGAGATTGGTTACGGTTTACAGTTACATGCCTCTCTATGCAGAGACGTCTCTGCAACACATGCAGCTGCATGCGGAGTTCCTGCTAAACCTGACACGGATTCCAGTCTAGGACGCGCACGTCTCCCAGGCACTTTGCCCGAAACAATGTGACCTGGGGAGTTCAGAGCAGAAACAGCGGTTTGTACGACATGTTTTGCTAGAAAGACACCTGATCCAGCTGATTGCAGCCCTTTAGAGTTGTGATGATATGCAATGCCAGATCTGATCAACCGACAAAATCCAAAGCATGCTGTTGAAGTTGGATGCACTGGACCGCCCAATCTTGCGCGAACTACGCAACATGCCACGAGGCAAGACTGCAGTTACTTAGTACTCATGGCCCGAACAAACATCCTGCAACCTTCGCCAGCAAGCCAAGACAGGCTGTGATTGTGTACGCCCTAAACCCTTGAAGCCCTAAACCCTGAACCATAAAGCCTAAAGACAAGAACACTTAAAGCTGCTTGGGCCGCCACATGTCCCCAGTACATATGAAGAGCCTCAGATCGGCAAGGCGGTTGGGTGTCGGGTTGAGGGTTTAGGGGTTTGGGGTTAGGGTTTAAGGTTTTAGGGTTTAGCGGTTTGGGGTTTAGGGTCTAGGGGTTTAGGGTTCGGGCTTAGAGGCATAGAGTTTTGGTGTTTCGGGGTCCAGGTATCCGGGTTTTTGGGTTTGGAGTTCTGCTCTGAACCCGGTCCAGGGGATTGGGGATTTTTAAAAGGGAAAGCAGAGAGCCTTTTCGTGTAATCCGAAAAGAACAGGGGGGAAGGATACGGTTTAAGAGCGTTGCCTTTGGATGTCAAGCCGGCTTCTATATGGGCTTTGAAGGATTGTGCAAGAGTCTAAAACCCAGAAGCCGAAACCCCTGAACGAGTTCTGAATGCGTCCTTTGTAAACAGGGGTTTTGATTGGTCGTCTCAGGATCTCATGTTACACCGGGGGTTCCAGGGATGTGGCTTCAGGGCCCGTTGGGTGGGATGTTGGGACCCAGGGCAAACATCCTGATACAGGAGACTGGTTTATTAAGCAATATACCCAGAAAGTTCCGGTATAAGTACGGCCCGAAATATGAAACCACACTCTTGAGGCCGCAGCGGCAAAGGGTCTGAGGTGCAGGGGCTAGAGATTTTGGCTTTGGTAAAGGTTTAGGGCTTTAGTGGGGCAGGGTTTACTTGCTTAATAAAAAAAGGCTCGCGGCGTCGACTTCCGCGAGCTCTCGCCTGCTGCGGCCTCATTTTCTGGCGCGTCTGAAACCAAGGGTTTAGGCTTCAGTGTGGTTTACCACGATGTGTTGGTCATGGGGCTTGGCTTTTTTAGGTTCCTGGGTGTGAGATTTCATGGCTCTGGTGTTTCGGGGCTTGGGGATCTGGGCCTGCAGGTTCTGGCACATGAGGACTTGAACGCAGTCATCACTTATGGTTCCGGGTTTAGGGTTTAAGTTTAGGGTTTAGTATTTTAAGTGAAGGGTTTTGGGAACTGCGGCTTAGGGTTTACCCTGACCCGGAAACCCTGAAGCTTTTAGGCTCGGTTTGCACAAGCTTGGGATACCATGATCAGCCCGACACCGGGCAGTTTCCGAAGTTGCCATCTGTTCGGATGTTAATATAGGGGCCGTTTAGTCTAATCGTATTTATGTTTATGTATATTTCTGTGATAATGCGACTGGAACCCTACTATTCAGGCTTCTGTATTGACAGGACATATTTTGACCCGCCAACCCTTCTTCATAGACCCCGGACGCCGGAGGCAAGCTTAGCCGCAAAGCCTTAGACGAAGTAGGATGCTCCCACCTGGAAACAGGAGGAGGACGAGTAGCACGGGCAATGGGCCCAACAGTGTCAGAAGACGTAGCAGCGGAAACTATCACGAAGAGAAGCAGAATCCCTAAACCCTATAAGCAGTATACGCATTGTCCCTGTAGGGCCCCTTTGCGCAAGCCTTGGAGCTTCCATAAACTACGAAGAGCCCGGAGTTTTCCGGGTCCCGGGCAAAGCACACGGCGCCCAGAAGGAAGGGGACGCCCGTTGGTGGGTCGTCGGGCAAAGGTGGCCAGAGCCTGTCACACAGGCATAAGGAGAGTTCAAGCCATAAACTCCACGAAAGCCCTGAACGAAAAAAACGCAACAACAACTGGAGGTATGGTCTCGAAGCAAGGAAAGACCTGCGTCCAAGCCTCAGGACTTCGACTTCGCTTATGCTGCGACAAGCCGAGCCTTCGTGCGGGGAGCCCGAACTGCGCCAGGCAGCCTCAAACGCTCGGCTATGGCATGGACAACAGCGGGGTTGTGTCGGTTTCTACATGAGTCTACATATCATATATGTATATGTCTGTCTATATATATATATGTGTGTGTGTATATGTATACATAGGATTCCATGGAAGGGCTCTGCGAGAGGTTTCGGGATTTATGTGGGGCTTCATTTGGATTGGTGTTTGGTGTTTACCGGAGCAGCCGTGGCCGTCGTGTCGTCGTTGTCGGTTTGAAATACAGCAACAGCAGTTCACATTGCGGTCATGACTCAGAGAAGCTTGTATCAGAACATGTGACCACATGAGCGAAACAAGCTAAGAAGCACAACAGTAATAAACAAGAACACACAATGATGATTCAGACGCACCACGTTGCAACAGTACACTGTGACAGCATCAACCGAAACAGCAGGATCGTCCGGAAGGCATACCATGAACCTGACTAACTAGCGACACCAGAGCGACAATACATATCCTGGCGAGGGTCATACTTAATTACAAGTAAGTGACAGCGGCAATTATAGGTGGCCGGAAGCACAGGCATGCAACGACAACGGCATCCGCCATGCAAGTGTGGTTTCTGTTGCTTTCGTAGGTGAGACATTGAAGAATAGTCCCTGCACAGGATCCCAGATTTTCCTATATGTATCTTATTTCCCGCCTATGCATTTCACGTTTGCACGCCTCTATTTCCGATGTCTAACCTGATTATTCCATGTATTTTCTGCTTCGGAATTCCTTTTTCCCTAGTCTTTTGATGCTCGGGTTGGGCCAGAGTAAGCACAAGAGATGGACATAAGGTTAGGGTTTATTAGGGGGGGGGTCGGACGCAGGAGAAGCCGTGACCTTGCAAGGCATAGACCTCAGTAGCCGCAGGTTTCAAGTAAGCACCATCTGAACCTTGCTTTCCATAATAGAACCTCCGGCCCACAACAACAGTCGTCTTTTTAAGTATGATAATGTGATAAGAGCTAGGGTCCAGCGTCCCGGTGGTGCCTTTCACAGACCTGTAGAAGGCGAGGCCGTCGAGTTCGCGGCAATACACCAGCCTCTGCAGGAATAGCTATCATGGCTTGGCTTAGGCAAACGGTGTAAGGGTTTAGGGCTTAGGTAGGGCCTACAGGGTTTAGGATGAATTAGGGGTCTGTAGATGTTGCGTGTCATGCCCGGACTTGGCAGCAAAACATCAGAAAAAAAAAAAACGAACGCTATCCGGCATGCTAAGCATACGAAGCCTTATGCTGTCATACCATAGGTTCAAGCCAAGATGCTGCAGAAACCGGCGTGCCCCATAAGGTGCCTCGGCTCCACTAGGTTAAGGCGCCTCGGCTCCACTAGGTTCGGTGGTGTTGCACTGTAGACCATGTGAATTACTGAATTCTTCGTATCCCACACCCTCTTCAAGCTGTCCAACAGTCGTCTCTGAATGCCTCTGGCTATATGACTACCAACTACTACTCACTACTGCTCAACTTGCTTGAAGCTTATGAGATTCATATATATATATATAAATACACCCACACATATAAATATATACTCATCGAGTTATATGTGTGATTGTGTAGTCATGGTACAAATATAAATAAATAAATAAATATATATATATATACACAGACATACATCTACAGACTGTTTGCTGATTTATATGATGTAGAGGCGCCGCTGTGTGTATCATGGCAGACGCAGGTTGAAGTTTGAGGTCGTGTACTGAAAAGCTCCACACATTCCCAGTTCTTCATGGCTTAGGGCTTACAGGCTTAGCCCCGTCGCGGGGAGGAGCTACTCTACCACAACCATGAGCGGCTCCTCACGAGGCATCTAAAACTTCTGTGCGGTCGAGTTTTCAGTTGGTAGTGCCGTCGTCGTTCCTGTTTGACCGTCTGTTCGTCACCGTGTAGCTCTTTGGCACACACGGGTGGTTTTACAAAACGAGTGGACATGAATCGCCAAGAAGCCTGCTCCACACTACACAAGGAGGCCATCCATTTATACATATATATATATGTACATGTATACATACCTCTCCCTCTCTCTCTCTCTCTCTGTCTATATATATATATATGTATGTATAAGTATACATGCAGCCTGAACCCTCCAAGAGGCTCTGAAGTGTCTGAGCCTGGTGCCCAATCGGGGCGCACGATGATGTCAATGACGCCGACAGTGGTTTCCAAGCGCACCTTCAAGCAAGAGTCTTCTATCCGGCTTTGGCACCACATAAGCAAAACACGCTGCCCCCGACTTCCAAGATTTCTTCTTCGTAATCCCAGTGAAAAACCGTCGAGGGAACAACTGAACCTCCAACTCTTCCAGGACTCCGATCATATGTATGTATGCATGCATGTCTGTATGTATACATGCATTCCATGTTGCAACATATATATGTATATAGATACGTATATATATATATATATGGATATGTATGTGTATATATAAAATTTGCACGAGCGAAAGAAGCTGCTTGCTAAGACTTCCACGGTATGCGCCACGGGCCCACTGGGCACAAGGGGTTCGAGATCGGCCTCCTGCGCGCTGAGAGTGATAAGGCGTTGCCAAGCGATATGGGGTTCTGCATTATCTATATATACATATATATATAATATATATATATATACATACATGTATGTGCATATATATCTATATATATATATCAGAGTAGGTAGCTTTACGAAGAACCTGTGGTCGAGTCTTGCGAACATGGACAGAAGCAGCGAGGATACATGCACAAGTTGAGGACAACACACTTTCAGTAGCAGCCAATGGCTAGGCATGAGAGTGACAGTCCCTGGATCTGTGCATGCCAGGAGTCACCAGCAGCTCTGACCCTGTCAACAACTTCAACTGACGATCGCAAAAGCGCAACACTAGATCCAAAGATCCCAACCCACGTTAAAAAACAAGAACGACTGTACCCCAAACTCGTAAACCCTACACGCTTGCTTCCCACTTGTCCTCTGGAAGGACAATGCCAGGAGGAACCTCGGAAGTGGATGGTGGTAGAATGGCTTGGGTCAACGTCTACATGGTCCTAAACCCTAAACCCGAAGAGAACCTAGGTGCAGAAATGCCCGCGAAGTCCGGCAAGCGCCAGCTGAGCATGTGGCAATCTGTTTGAAATGTATGTGCAACACTTCTGCACGGCAAATATGGAAGAAACCTATACTTTCAGTTAATTAGGTTGGCAGTAATGTAAAGAACCCGTGGGTGTGCGTGTACATACCTATGTATACAGGTACAAGCACAGATTTTCATACAAGTATATATATATACACACATACAGAAAATATATAATCAAATTACACATATAAAATGCTAACACACACACAGAGATCTCTCCATCTCTCGTTTCTCTGTGATTCGCTCTGGGCGCGCCTTGAGAATTCTTCATGCCTACAGCGTACTCTATTGAAGTCATACCTGGCTTGTTTACATATCCTCCGTGAGGCCAGCACCAAGGACGACGGTGCGGGCTGCGCCTTGCAGCAATGAGGTGTTCATCTTACTGCTTTCAGCTGGTCTTGTTTTCAAGTTTGCTGAAACCTCAGCACTAAACTTTTAACCACGGAAGAAGCTCTTGAGCATCCCGAGTAGGGATGAAAGGGATGCTGCAGCATCACATCCAGTGCCTCATCACCGAACACTGCGTTGGCAGCAGCCTGCAGGCAAGCACTGGCACATGCGTGTCTCTGATGTTGAGGATCGTCTAGGCATGAAAAACTTTTGACTCTAGGACGTTGCTCCAACAAAGCATGGCTGTGATTTTGAGAGCTACGATTTACTGGGGTTTACTGCCGAAGTGTAGCGCTTCAGGGTTAAGCATTTGGCAGCTGAGTCTCCTAGCAGGCTCTGAGAACGGTTCAACCGCTCTTTTCCGAACCTCCGTCAGTCTGCAGCTGCTACGCATGGAGGCAGTGATGCGAGTTGTGCAGTAGCAGCTAGAAGCAACAAAAGCGACATCCAGAATACTGCCAAGGACCGCACAACAGGAAATCTTTTGGTATGTTTATAAACCCTCAACCCAATTGACCCTAAGCTCTATAAACCCTGTGAATCCCAAAATCCCACAACTCCCGAAACCCGAAAAAACAACTAAACCCTATACGCCCGCCCTATAAACCCAAAACCCTACAATCCCAATAAAATCTAAAAACTTCGGGAGCAATATAAATCCTAAACCCCAAACGTGCTTCCGCCTGCTCCTCCTGTTTCAGCACAGACTCTTCAACCTGCGCTCTGGCCGTGAAGCCATTATGTTCCTTAAGGCTCAGTTCCCTCGCCCGAAAAGGAAAAACGGAACTTGTGTAACTACCCCAAAAGGTTAAAGGTTGCATACCAAGCCCCTAAATTTTTCGGAAAGAACCAAAACCACAACCGAAGAGTACCAAAAAGGCATAATGAACGCACAACTCCTCAAATACCAGACGCAAGAGAGCAGATGCGCACGAGATAGGTTTTGCGGACGGGGTTCTGCCGAAACCCGCGGTTTCCAGAGCATTTCAAGACTTCAGACAATTCTATGTAATGCCAATGTCCAATGTAATCCTGAAACCATGAAAGTTCTAAGTTCCAAGCTCTCATCAGTCACTCCAAATCCGTAAGTGCCAGGTCGAAAGCACCAACAACTTTTGGGTCCCTAAGACCTGACTTCAAGACTTCAGGGCAATACGAACAGGGCCTTCATGAAAAGACTAGGGTTTCAGGGCATGTTAGACTGTAACTATAATCCGGAACCCCAGTCATACTGTTTAGCTCCTATGCTTGGGGTTAGGGGTTTAGGGCTAAGGCAACTCATCAAGGGCCCTCGGGAACAATCTCACGATTTTTGCTTCGTACCGCTCTTTGATCCAGGGCGCCTGAGACCTTAAACCCGGAGGCAGAAGCGGGAAACCCTAGGGCCCTAAACCCAAACCTTAAACTTAAACCCTAAGCCCCCCAAACCCGAAGCACGAACAACCTAAACCCTAAACCCTAAACCTTAAACCTTAAACCCCAAACCCTAAACTATAAAGCCGAAGCCCTAAAACTCCCTGAGCTTCAGGGCTGCTGCAATGTAGCCGAGCCCTGGGCCCACTCATCTGTGCCGGCTATTTGGGTCAGAACCTCAGCTGAGGCTCAGGGATTCAGAGGGTTCGGGTCTTGAGGCGCGTTAAGGGGGTTTAGGGGTTGTTGGGAGATAGGACTTATGTTTCGTGTTAAGCTTTGCGCTTTGCTTGCTGGGCTGAGGGTTTTCTTTTGGGACATGTTTGGGTCATGTTGGGGTTCAGGATTTGGGCATACCCTTCCGGAGGTTGTCTCAGGTTTCTAGAGGTGAACAGGCTTGCAGTGGCTTCGGGCCATGGGGGTGTAGGGTTGAGGGTCTAGGGTTTAGGGTTTAGGGGTATATACTGGGGTTTAGTATTACCACTTGTACTTGTGTGATGTACTGGGTGCATAGAGACTCTATGATACTCGTGGGCAGTATCCCATGCAAAGGCGGCTCGTAGCACATTCACTGAGCCCTGAACCCACGCAAAACTCCCCCCTCCCCTTCATGACAGATAGCTCTGAACCCAAGAAGGCCTGATGCCCCGTGAGCCCTCCTTCCCAAACTATCCTGCCGCCAAGCCCCAAATGCCAGGTTTGGAGGGTCCCCGCCTTTGCTCAACTCAGCCCCAACCCCAAGATCCTATAAGCCCTACCTTGGGTTCTCCGAGCTCGCCACCAGGGTGTCGCCGGGCCCCATCCCCTCGGGCACCCGAGCCTCTCAGATCGGAGTTTAGGGGTACATACGAGCATAAAGACGCTTACGACTCTTTCACTTGTGATGGGGTAACAGAAGGCCAGCAGTGGGATCGTATGAAACTTTTTAACACTGTTATTATATAGTAAAGTCGAAGGGGACAGCATACTACATTCATATTCGATGTTCAGCATATCAGAGCTGCAATCCGGCGATTATGCCCTACATCACTACAGGATGGGGTTGGCGCCGACAGCAATAGCAATTCAAGGGTTCAGACGCGAGCCTTTCCCTCTCCGTGCCACGGCAAACTGACGGTGCCGCCTTCACGTTCTCTGCTCGACCTTTCACCGGGATCGACAGCACCGATCCCGGTGCAGCATTATCCGGGATGGTGATGGTCCTCAGTGCGAAGGCGCGCCGACTGCATCGTGTCGTCTGGCTGCCTTGCTGGCAGGTGTTGGTTCCAAGATTAAAGCCGCCGACCGTATACCCTAACCGTGAGAGGTCTCCTTGAAGCCGACAGCCGCTGTCTCGAAGCGACCAGAAGCTTAGCTGTTTCTGGGGTGCCGGCAGCTGCATCGCTGAAGTCATGCTGCCCCTGGGCATGGTTGTGCAACCGGAACAGGGCTCTTGTCGAAACGAAAGGCCTTCGCTCTGTGTTGCCTCCCTTTGAGTAAGGGATGGGAAGTTTCCAGCAGACCCTTTCGAGGAGTCGTGAAGGTAGAAGATGCTACAAAACCAGATCCAAACTCAACTTCCACGAAAACTGACGTCAAATGCCCGGGGAGGGGTTCTGGAAAGCAGTGATCTCTCTTTCGGTGGTATTCCATGATATCCAATGGCGTCATTTCACTTATTATGTCCCTTTTTGTGACACTCCCAATTCGGAGGTCTGGCACGACCCAACCCTCCAACCTGAACCTTGAACCCCAAAACCTCTCCCGCAGACAGCCGCCTGCTATGTTCTGATCCTGCTCAGGGCCATGTGCAGGAATGTCTAGTCTAGAATGGATAAGTGGCTGAACTTTCTGGATAGCTCCTCGAGTTGCCGGCACGGTCTGCTTGCGGCAGGGCTGGCTTAGTTTTTAGATTACCCTAGAATCAAGCCCGGCTTGCGCAAAGAAAGGCCCGACATGCTATATAGTTATCTTTGTACTTGGTTGCGGTACGTGTTTCTCATCTCACTGCTAGTGGCCTCAACTAACTTTTCTGCACTGGAGGCTATACACTACATCCCAACGGTGCAAGCTTCTAGAGTGCTTTGTGCTGCTCATCTTGCGTCTCAGCTCTATGCAACTGAAAGCTTGAGCAGATGTGGATAGCATGGGACAGCCGGAAACCTCAACTGCACACCCCTCCCCCGAAATTGGCCAAGGTGGAACTCTTTCAACCCTCCCCTGCAGGCCCTACTCATCAGCTTAGAATAACACTTATCATAGCAATAACAATCATGATGATGATAATAATAATACGAACATTAGGTTCTACTTATCAGCTTCCTGCACGTTGACAAGTTGAACATTGACCCAGGAGTCGGAAGAGTTCAGCATTGCATTCTATCTTGTGCAGCCAGCGCCCAGCGCCTGGACTTTGGTTAAGACACGTCCAGGCTATCCGCAACAGACAGTTGCATGCGTTGCAGCCACACGAGGACGCGATGAGTCAAACAACCTTGGAAAAATCAAAGTGTGAGGGTGTACATAATAATAATAATAACATTATTAATTACACTTATTCGTATTATCGCGGATAGAGCCTTAGTCTTTCGGAGTCCGACGCGAAGTGCAACGCAGGGACGCAACAACAAACCAGTGCTGTGCAGCAGACACTGTGGGCACATAAACTTCGATATACCTGGACTTGTATCCCAAATAGGGGTATATGGTATATGGTCCTAAATAATGGGTACTTAGGGCCTACTAGAGCCTAGATGCCTGGGATCCAAAACCGACACCGTTCCAAGGGTTATTAGGCGACAATTAGGGGTCTTGGCCCACGACCGACTATCCGCAAAACTTGCATGGAAGTGCTATAGGCTTCTTCCCATCCTGCGTTGTTTCGAAAGCTTCCAGGTATGCCCCTACCGTCCCTGCACATACACCTTCACCCTCGAAACCCCGTAAGCCCTACACCCTATAAAGCCCACAAGCCCTGTGCACCCTACAAGCCCCATAAACCCGAAGCCCTAAACAAAAAACCCTATAAGCCCTGTAAGGCCCTACGAACCCCATCAGCCCGAAGTGCCCGGAAAAACCCACAGAAACCATAAACACCCCACCTCATAAGCACCCAAAAACTAAACGCTAAACCCAAAGAGCTTGGAAGCCCCGAACCTCCTGGGACCCCACCCAGGCTGAAACACCTGCCCATCAATTTTCAAAAGGCTCCTAAGTACCTATAAGGGCACCTTTAAGATCCTTTAAGGGTTCCTTCATGGAGGACTGCCCAAACCATAAGAGTAATTCCTGCAACAGAAACCCTACGTAGTACTGCGTAGGTACTTAGGTCCCCTATAGGGGCTGCAGCGTTTTTGAGACTTTCTGCTCTGGACGCCGTTGGGACTATCTTGCGTAGCCCGTCCAGGGTTTAGGGTCCCCATCCAATTTATCCGCAACATCCACTTCATCTTGTTTGGATTTGGTGTCTTCCTGGGTCGTTTATTGTGCTTGAGGTTTGAGGCTGCCCCTCGGGGCATGTTTGACTTAGAGGCCACGCAGATGATCATTGAGGATGAAATGGGCCGGCCAACATGTTGCTAGTAGCTGTACGCGTACCGGCATTTTTTACATGCAGAATACTTCGTAATCGTCTCATCGTAGATCAAGGAGAGACTGCCCTGCCAATCCGTGTGACAGCTTAGAGGCCAGACAACTTGGCCGTGATAAATATACAGAGCAAGCAATCTGCTGGAAGGATGGCTACATGAATCGTGCCCAACAAGAGTTTACAAATCAACAAAGCCAAACAATGAAAGTAAGGAGACACCAACTATACAAGGGGTTCGTTGCGGAAGCGGCACCGGAGAGACCGAACCATTCGCAAGGATGGGGTAGTTTGGTTGTGAAACAGCTTCGAGTCGTTCGGGAAGAGCGCAGGCCCATGGGTCCCCGGTGAATTTCTTTAAAGTACAGTCGGAGCCCTAAAACGATTTAGGGTAGGTTCTTTAATTGGGGGATTTTGGAAGATCTGGGAAGCTAGGTCGGCCTTTGGGATATCTGATGTTTGCGAAGCTACAGAACGTAGCATTGGCATTGTCGCCTGGAGCTCACGGTCACGCTTCTCTGGGCGCATGCCCTTGTAGACCTGCCCTGTATGCCAGGTTGCCCATGGAGTAGGAGAAAGGCCAACATCTCTGGAAATTTAAGGCTCGGGGAGGAACCCTATGTGATCCCTAGCTTAGGACGAGGTCGCTGTCTCAGGAACAGAACAGCAAAGCTCGAACTGCGAAAACCGATTGGTCCAGGCAGGCATCTTGCCTACGTGCTTAACAAAGGGGCCTTAATCATTAGAATAGGATTTAGGGAGGGAGACCTCAGGAGGAGCATTACTGATTCCTCAGACACCTGTGTTAAACAGACCCAGGCCACTGTACCCGAACGCTTGCACAATAATAGTACGTAGCGAAAGGACTGATGCGGATCAAACTGAAAGTTAACCGGATATCAACATGATCGTAAGAAGCATACTAACTACCCAGAAACCGCAATTAACACTACCATCGAATGACGAGTACAAGTGACCCCTCTATATCTGCCAGAACTGAAGATATAGGTCTTTTAACACACATTGGGTTTTTGGAACGTTTGAACACATGTAGCTTCTTGTGCCGCAGGGCCTGCTCTTTCCTGTTCCCCAGTGAGCGCAGGCTGCGAAAAGAGCAGCGCGGGCCCTCTACGACTCAGGCATCTTCACACCACCGATTCTCCTGCACAGACTCTTCGGGGATGGTGTTTCTAGGGCCAGGGTGTGCGACTCAACTTTTGGCTTGTAGGGCTTAGTGGGGGGGGTGCAACTGTTGTTGGGATACTACAGGTTTTGTCTGTAGCCTGCCTTCAAAATTGGGGCACATCAGCCACCTTGTTCTCCTGGCATGAAATACGAGGTTGCCTGAACCCCTGCAGCCCAAAGCTCGATGAACTATTCATAAGCAGTACTTCTGCGTACTAAGCAAGATTATTAAAAACGTTTTGTAGCCAGAGGTCAACCAACAAAAGCGAAACGCAAACGTGCCAGTACAGCTCCATCAAGACATTCACAACCGACATCGGAGCCCTCCACCCCTACTCAACGTGTACCTAACACCCTCTAGATCCGACGCTCTGACACTTGCACCCACCATATGGGTAGTTCTCTAAATTAGGGTCCCGTTTAGGGTCCTTTTTTAAAACGGGTGCCGTACTATTCTGGGGACCTAAAAAGCGGACCCGACTGTAGAGAACTACCCATATTTCATCCTATTTAAGCAACCGTCAATGCCGGTGCCTCGCGAACTTGCGCCTCCTCCTCAGGTGTGAAGTCGTTGACGATGTTAAACCTTTCGATCTCTTCAGGGATTTTTTGAAGCCAGCAGCCAGTTTGGGGTTTAGGGTCTCTTGTCGGGAGAGAGAGGAGAACCTAGGACAAGTAACTCCTGGACATTTACAAACTAAACGCGTACCAGCCCTGCTCATCCTTCATCAATGTGGTTCCCCTGCAAGTTTGGGGAAAAAGGGTGAAGCCTACCAAAACCCGGCAGTAAGAAACCCCTAACCTCTCCAACACTAGGTTCCCTAAAGTCCTTACAAGAACCTCAGGTAGCTCAGTGCACCGCTGCTTTCGGATCTCCTCCGTATTCTTTCCTTTGATCATGGAGGCGACCTTTCGGAGCGCTGGAACCGGGGCCCTGTTAGACCCTTTAGGGTTTAGGGTTTAGGGGTTTAGGGGTTTTTATTGGTTTAGGGGTTTAGGGTTTCGGGTTTAGGGGTTTAGGCTTTAGGGTTTTGGGTTTAGGGCTTTAGGGTTGGGTGCCTTATCAAAGCTCTTGGTGTAAGGTTTAGGATTGAGGGATCTTGCTGAAGTTTTCAGGTGTGCGGCCTTGCACAGTGATCATTCGCTTTGGCTTCAGTTGGAAATTAGACTCCATGCAAGAAGCACCCAGGGCTCAGATTCATGTGGGGAGGCGCGCTGCTTGCAGCATTTCTCAAAAACCAACCATGGTCCCAAACCTTCTAAGGGACCGTGAGTTGGTGCAAATTCCGATGAAGCAGGCCCACTGCTCTCTGCCTTGGCACATGTGAGGTCCAGGAGGCTTTTGATGTCCAGGTAGTTCGCAGCAAGGATTAGCTCAAAAAGGACCTGGCTCACCGGGACTGCATGGACATGCGATTGCTACACAGACCGCTGCGGGCTCGTGCGGGGCTTTACATTCAATGCCAAGGGTCCAGGCAGCAAGACTATCACTGTGCAGCTGAGGTTGCTATAAGCCGTGAGCGTTCAGTGTCAGAAGGACCCTAAGCCCTGTTTTATAAACCCTATAGCCGAAACCGCAAACCCTGAAACCCAAGCAATCGTCCTCAACTCCAAATTTCCAGACCTTCCTCCGGAAACTTGCC